TTATCTGTTCTTGAATCGTTAAATCGATCGTTCTTGTCTTGTAAGACCTATAAATCCTTAGAATTAGTATTACGACTTAGTTAAAGATAGGACACACGAAAGGAAAAAATTGATATCTACTAGTCAGATAATGACATGAGTTGTACTTAAAGGAAGGAATGATGATTGATATAGTTGATTCCGACTTGTCTAATGATTCATATAGTCGATTTCAACTTGTCTGAAATTGAGTTTTGTTATTGTTGTTTGTTGTATTAGTTGAAATGTTCATGAATTTCTTATGTAGATGAAAAAACTTTATTATGTCTAACTTTGTTACTATCATCTAAACATGAATCATTAGAGACTCAACTGCCTTAACAAATAGTGTAATTACTATTAAAAAAAGGGAACTTTCGCCCACTATAATAAACTTAATTATGCTTCATAGCTATAGTTTGCATATTTACGGGTTGTAGTTACAGTTTAAGTTGTCTCATTTGTATAATTCACGGATTTGTATATTTCACAGGTTTGTATAATTCGCGGGTACATTTGTATAATTAAGTTATTTTTGTATAAATTCGAAATAACGAATTTCGAATTTATACAGTTACAAACATCAGAAGTGTAAACAATTATACAAATTCCTAATTATAGCCGCGTAATTATAGCTAAAAGTAGGTCGTGAATTGTAATTAAGGCAAACGATTGCTATGTTAACTAATTAACTAGTATATGTTTATTTATACGCGTATTTTTCCCTTAAAAATATTAGGAGGATGAAACCATACTAATTAGTAGTAATTACCATATATATATAAGACATTAGTTATATATTTAGAGATGGAATCACAAAAATTCAAAAATAACTACAATTTATACTGATATCCAAACACAATTTCAATTTTCAAATACCATTTTCACAATTATTATATTTAAAGATCACTTAGTAAAAATAAACGGTGAATCTTGTGGCAGGTCGTCTAAATAAAAAGTTGAATTATCAAGTTGATTGAACAACCTTCAAGCAAATACTACTCCAATAACAATTTTTTGTATGAAAATTAAATTACATAACCTAATAATGACTCAAATATCCTAATGATGTTTTCAAGTTTTATTTGTTCAATTGTTGGACTTTGATCATGGCGGATTTAAGGACCCAATCACCCAATAGTGTTCAGTGTTCACCATAATCCCTTTAAACAAAAAATATATTATTTATAAGTTTTTTTTTTTTATATATTTATAATTTTTATATATATTATAGATTATGAATTTCCTAAACACAAATTAAAAGTAATGATCTAGTTAGGATAATCCTATTGCTATGTATCCTTCATGTGGATTTCTAACAAATGAAGTTGAGGCAATTAGGATAAAGCTTATCAGGAAATTATGTGGTTAATGAATTAGATACTTGTACTAATTCAACCCACTCAACCCCTTAATTAGAGACACAATTTTCATATCAAATTTTGTCTCACATACCACATTCATCTCTTATCCACAAAAGTAGGAATAAGATTTGTGTATGTGTCGTTTTTTTAGATTTTACGTGAGACTATATTGATTATGTTATTTTTGTATACATATATACCACACTCATACCTCCATTTTCTTTCTCTTGATGAAATCAGTATTCAAATTTCAATCGTATTTGAGTTGATTTCTCCATGCATATTAATAGTATTCACGCTATTTTCATAATTTCTAGTGGTATGTTATTGTTGTATTGAGTTGGTTTGCTATCAGAGGCATATTCAAGACTTGAAAAATATGGTTTTCGACTTTCAATCCTCATAATTTATTTATTTCTAAATTTTATGATCTGAACATATTTGATGAGATTTTCAAGTATATATCTAACTCAATTTTATTGGGTTTTGCAGATCCAATACCATAAATGATACATTTGTCCTTATTCATTGTAAAAATTCAAATATTTTCTATCAAACTTTTAATATCTTCTGAAACTTACATATATATTATTAAAAATGAAGAAATTTCGACCATTCATCACAACGTCAATAGTCCTACCACAAAATTTGGTCTCTCTTTTCTTTACACTAGGCAAAATGGAGCCAAAAAGTGAGTTGTTTTTCCTTCTCGTACATAAGACTAACACACAACATTGCTCCTCATTGTCTATTTGTCCCTTAGCAACTTTGGGGCCTTATCATCTTTGGATTCTCATTCATGAGTGCCACACCTTTTAAATTCTTTTTAATTTCTTACAATTTATCAAATCAATAATGTGTGTTTATAAACGTTTCTGTCCCAAACAAGTTGAGATAAATTCATACCAATAATAATTATGGTTAAAACTTTGCATTAAGTTCATTACAAAATCACTTAGAATATGCATTGCATGTGTATATCAAGAATAACTTTTTTACTTAAAAAAATATAGATAAAATTTGCTTATATTTTACCCTTCTTAAATCTTACATATGAAAATATACGGAATATGTTGTTGCCTATAAGATTATGACAAATAGGGAAGTCTAACAAATCATAAAAAGTTGCATATGAAAATATATTGAATAGTTTATTTTGTTCTTTTCTAATCTGTTTATTTCAAGTACCACATAGTTGACATTTTTTGTAGACACCTTTCCTTTTCTTTCTTTTTTCCTTTTACTTTTAAGTAGATACCTTTCATTTTTTTCACTTTTCCTTTTTTTTTTTTTCTACTTTAGATAAATACCACAAAGTTATAAATTTGTATTTATGTTTACATCTAATGACGTTTTATTTATCTAATAATGCAATATCTGAAACATGAAGTGTGCGTGTTAATTTATTTAAATGCTTGATATATAAATAAGTCTTTTAATTTGATTTAAGTTAATATTTATCACCAAATTTTAAAGCACGATTATGTATTACTGTAACTAATTCAAATGGTCATTGGGATAAGACATAAGTACCCTATAGACTATGATCGAAACTTCAAAGATACACTTTAATTAAACTAAGGTTCTATTACATCGAACTCATTTTTTTTATATAAAATTGAGCACATTTTTTGCTTACGTGATATCCAAACATTTCTCACGCGCTTCAACTACATGGAGTCACGGAGTGTGCCACATAAGCCAAAAGGTGTACAAAATTACAAAAAAATGAGTTCAAGGAATAATCGGACCTTAGTTTAAAAAGGTGTGTCTCTGAGATTTCGATCATAATCTAGGTGATACTTGTGTCTTGTCCCAATGGTCATCCAAGTTGTGAAAACAATACAATAAAATTACGTCTAATCTTGTTTGCTATTCGTAAGAACAAAACTACTAGTGTGGAGTTAGTCAATGCTTCTTTCTTCGATCTTGTTTGCTATTCTTCACTCACACGATATTATTAGATTGAACTATTGTCCATCAATTGTCATAATTCCTCATCACTATTTTCCATATTTTGGATTGTCTTATTTCTAACTCGTTAAAAGATGTTTAAAAAGGTGTCAAATAAATTAAATAATATTACTTTATATTAATTTGGAGGACACCAACCTTACAAAAAGGTCCATTAAGAGTTGGCTAGAATATTCTCAATTTAAGGTGCTTGTAATAGCACTAGTACTAATAGACAAACATAACAAATTAGGTGTGTTGACTACATGTTTGCATAAATTTTGGAAACTAACTACACTTTTTAATTTGGCTTTATTTGTACCTACCCACCATAGTTTTTCTTTTTTCGATTTGAATGTGAGATCTTTCTAATTAATAAAGGGCTAGAGCTTTGTATTATCCCGCCTTATTCATCGATGGTACTGTACTACAAAATACAACTCCCTCCTCCTTTCACTTTTCTTATATTTGAGCTAATAGATTTAAGAGTGAGTTTCAATCATCCATATGAACATTCAGTATTCAATTCGATAACTAAAAGTGATATCAAATACTCCTATATCATACTTACAAAGTTTGGGGCAATATATTCCCTGCTCAATATGGTAATTCAATTTTCAGTGATTTATATCCATCCCTAACCAAAGATTGTTGTGTTGTAATAAGTATTCTTAACCACACGTCTCAAATTCAAATAACTTGAATATAAATTCTCAAAATACAAATTAAATTTATTAGACTCCAAAACAAATATCAAACCTGTACGAAAATCCTTGTTTGGAGTTGAGCGGCAAATACAAACTGAATTTGCCTCAAATTGCCAAAAAGTAAAATAAAACCAAATTTTTAATGGCGCCGTTTACAATTAAAACCTTTTTTTTTGGCGGGTAAGAGTATTAAATCAAAATTTTCATAAAAGGGTATTTTAGTCTTTTCATCTCCCGATCTCCTAGGGTTTTTCCGTACTCAGTTTCCTTATAAACCCCTCAAATTTTATATTTTTTCGGCTACGACTCTTTTATTTTTTGTCCGTTCATCATTATCTTCTCTATCATTCTCGCAGCCTCTGTTTTTTTTCTTCATGTCGGTTTATCTGTATCCTCTTAGTTTCAGTTTTTATTAAGCTGAACTTCAATTTATTGAGTTTTTTGTTCATTGTGTGTATTGAAGTTGAGCTTGTTAGTTGAGGTGGAGGAAGTTTTTTTTGATTGTTTCTGCTAATTTGGGGATAAAAAGTGTTTATTCAGCTGGTTTTTGCTGTTTTGTTATCTGGGTCGTGCTTAAGTTTTGGTGAAAATACTTGTTTGTAAGTTGTGATCGTTGAGCAGTGGTTGATCAAGGTGTTTTTTCTTCATTTTCCTTGAGTTATAGCTGATGTAGAAGAAGTTTCTCTGGGTTTTTTTTCTGTTAATTTGGGGATAAACGTTTTTTATTCAGCTGTTTTTTCCATTTTGTCATCTGGGTTGTGCTTAGTTTCTGGTAAAAAAACACTTGGTTGTGAGTTGTGATCGTTGAACAGTGGTTAATCAAGGTGTTGTTTTCTTCGATTTTCGTTTATTATTAGCAGAAGTAGAAGAAGTTTCTTCGATTTTTTTCTGCTAATTTGGGGATAAACGTTCTTTATTCAGCTGTTTTTTTTTTCATTTTATCATTTGGGTCTAGTAAATTTGAGCTGTGATTGTTGAGAAGTGGTTAATCCAAAGGTGGATACAAGTGATAAAGTGAGTTATTATGCCATATCCTTTTGTCATTTGATCATATTTTTCACCATTTATTTGTTGATTAGTGTTTGATTTGAATTTGTTATCTATGGTATTTTTAGGTTCAAGAAACTGGAGAGATGATTGGGCAAAATCAAACCCCAGACAGGGTCTCATCAGAGATCAATCAAAAAACTTGTGTTGATTGTGGAACCACAAAAACTCCTCTGTGGAGAGGTGGACCTGCTGGACCTAAGGTCAGTAATTTGGTCTTATTTTGCTTGTCAATTTCGATTGTGTTGTTTGTTTTGTTTCATCTTATATGGTAGTGTTTAATTGAGCTTGAAATGGTATTTTGACTTGTTTAATTGTTATATGAATAGTTAAACAACGGTTATTGTCGAAAATTAGTTGAGTTGTATTCTTGAAAGTTGTATATGTAGAAGGATTACTTACTGTGGAATTGTGTTAGATAATTATGACATGTCCAATCAAAGAAAGTTTCATAATTAGAAATGTATGCTTGTCATTTTTGATATGTTGTGCACTACTTTTGGATGATCGAATATGCCCTTAGTGTCTTTTTTGAAGAGTTTGAGCAATATGGTTTGGTCTTAGTGGCTTAACTAAGATTTAAAATATATAGAATTGAACCTACAAAGAAGCCAATGGTGGTTCAATATCTTTTATATACATAGTGTAATTTTTTGATGAAGGTGGTTTGGATATAGTACCTAGCGTCGCTCTTTTAGGTCTATAATCCCAATTTGGCTTGTAAATGTGTTTAGGTTTGAGATTGTGATTGTACCAAAATGATCTTTTACTTTGTGAGTTACGGCTTACGACACATTTTATTATAGGGTGTCTATAATTTCACTCAAAAAATATTGAATCTAATGATTTGATCATGATGGCGAATGCAGTCATTGTGTAATGCATGTGGAATAAGGAGCAGGAAGAAGAGAAGAGCTCTTCTGGGATTGAACAAAGATGACAAGAAATCAAAGAAATCTTTGAATAAGAGTGTTGTTAACTATCATCATCAGAACCAGAGTAGCAATAGCAGTAGCAGTACAAGCAGCAGCGGAGAAAGTACGAATAATGTAATAGTGAAGAACGAATGCATTCCATATAAGAAGCGATTACTGCATTTTGATCGAGAAGTTGGTTTGCAAAGACCAAGATCAAACTCTACACACAGAAGAAAGTTAGGTGAAGAAGAACAAGCAGCATTCTTGTTGATGGCTCTTTCATGTGGTTCTGTTTATGCTTAGTAGAGGAAGAAAATGTTGTACTTATTGTTGTGTTTGTAGTACCTTTTTCGGGTCGGTAGAGTAGAGGGGATAAGTGTAAGAGTAGAATCTAGAATGATAAGAAAAAGAGCTAAATCAATTTGAGAGCTCATAAGAATGTAGACTTGAGGATTGTGTTGTAGTTTAAACTCAATTAATTTTATTTCAATCTAAGTTGAGTTCATTGACTTCGTGTGATTTATAAGTTATGTGTTTGAGTTGTGTTTGTATTAGATAGTTTGTCTATGTCACAATTTTTGAATTTTGTTTGTCGGATGTTTTGTGTATCGAACTATCGTGAGAGTTAATTGTGTATGCAACTCATTTGATCAATGTGTTGGGACAAGGAATGTTAATCTTTTGAAAAAGATGACCTTTTAGTTAGAGGAAGAAAAATAAACTAAAAAGGGAAATGCTTGTACTTAGTGGAGTTGTGGTAGTACATTTTTTGTTTGGTAGAGTGACAAGATAGGTGTTGAATAAAATGATTAATCTAAGTTTTATTACCTACCTCAAGTACAACTTTTGCTCTCTTTATATTAAAAGACATTTTGATTTTGAGTTCGTCAAATATTGTTTATACACGTGTAGATCAATGTAATATCGATTTGTGTTTGAATATAAGAGAGTGACAATTAAAATATGAAACTCATGAAAATATGATAATTCAAATAGGAAACATCTAACAATTGAGATATGAGCAATTTAATATCGATCTATGTTTGAATATAAGAGAGAAAATATGAAACTCATGAAAATATGATAATTCAGATAGGAAACATCTAACAATTGAGATATAAAACTTGTGAAATAAATAATAGATTTTATATATATTTTTACTCATTATTATTATTATCAGACAACAGACCAATACATGTGAATCATATAGTCAAATTTGTCTTATTTTTGTTGGATGTATTCATCACGTGGTTAAGCAAGCAACGGTAGAAGCATCTTCTTTTTCATGATTGAGGATTATTTTGTGAACATACTTTTCTTATTTTTTTAGAAAAAGAGACTCTAATCATATTTAAATATCAAATGTTATTATATGTGTTATAACAATCCGTAACTATAAAAGAATAGTATAATTTTCTTTGATACATAAATATTCGAAAAGTAATGATTTCAGTTGAACTCACCAAACTTAATAACTAAGGAAATTCTAGATACTTATGCTAGCAATTAAAACTCAAATCTGAACACTAAAATCAATCCAGAAATAAGAGAAAAAATCAAAATTATTCTAATTAAGAGTGCAAATATTTGCTCAAAACCGGAATCCAACGTCTAAAAATTAGCTTAAGTGAATAAAAGACGGAGTTTCATTGGTTCACTGAAGCTATAATTTTCAGTTGTGAACAAAAAACGGAGTTTCATTGGTTCACTGAAGCTATAATTTTCAGTTGAGAAGCTGGTAATTAGCTTTAGTGAACGAAAAACGGAGTTTCTTCACATCTTACATTGGAAAATTTCCTAATGCATCCTCATTGTCGTCACCAAACTCATCATATGCAACCGGTTCAACACTTTCTTGTTGTTGCTGGTACAAAAAAGTTAATCCGAATTAGTAAAACGTGGGAGTTATGAACTCAAGCAAGTTGGGGGCGGTTATATGAATCCTCATTGACGGTATTGCACCACTAAACCTCATCTTAGACAAGTATTATAAAAATAACGAATAGATAAGAGTACGAAAACAACAACATACTTAGTGTAATCCTACATGTGGGGTCTGGGGAAGGTAGAGTGTAAGCAAACCTTACCCCTACCTTGCAAGGTAAACAAGTTGTTTCTGATAGACTCTCGGTTCAAGGAAAAGCGTATCAAAGCAGATACTATAGAAAAATAAGAGTACGAGGACTAAAATACTCCGAGATAACATAGGAACTAGTATTGCAGCGATGTAAAGATAACAAATTAAGACCAACCTGCTCGAGAAAGGCGCTCATGAGGTCCTCTTGATCAAATGGCTCAGGAAAAGTGGTACTCTGATAGCTTGAACTAGGATATCTTTCAGCGTTAACATGTGGACGAGGCATAGGATTAACATGTCCAATTTCTTGCCCGCTATAGAGAACTGCTTCTGCGATGGGACTATTACTATTTACGTTCTGTCCACTCTGCCCCATTGACAGAATTCCGTGGCGTATACTAGAATGATAAGACGTATCAAAGATTGATCCAACATTATGCTGATACAGCTCGTTGAAAATATCATCAGAGTTAACATCTTCCTTAGTTGTTGACATTGCTGAATTACCACTCATAGGAAAGCTGCTTCCTGTCAACGATATGTTCTGATTCAATGAGCAATCTATCGCTGAAGATGATGCTCGGGGAACCTGATTGTACATACTATCTCGTGCATTGTGAACAAGACCATTCTGTGATAGGAACTTATTGGATTCTCTTAGCATATTGTGAGCTTGTAACTGTGGTTGAGAAATCCGTCCTACTGGCATGTTCATTCCCAAGTAGGACGGATTTTGTTCCACGGCTGTTGGGATTCCATAAAGCAAGTTAACTTGCTTAGTACGATCGTTCATCTGTTGCTGACCTTGATATCTCAACATGGGATTTTCATAGCTAAAGTAGTTTCTCTGGTCTGCTAACGGAACAAACATCGGAGAATTTGTTGCAGGCCTACCCCATGTGGCAAGATTTTGAGCAGGAAATTGACTAATAGGTGCAAGAGCATGAAGACGGTTAGACATTATCCCAATGGTTGGTTCCGAGTGTCCCATGATAGCATTATTCGGTTCACTCTGATACTTCCGTAGAAGCAGTCTGTGTTTCTGCAGCAAATGGTTGCCACTAAGTAAGTATTTCAATCAATCAATCGACCACGCCTCTAACAAGTACTCAATCAACCGATCAATCAACTAAACAATGTCGCCTATATGGATCATTTGGTTTCATTGTGTTATATTCTAGTTATTTTCACCATTGTTTCAACCTACTAACTAGTGACTACATGTTGCAAGATACATGAAATCATTCACCAAAAAAAGGTTTCGTAAACATGATATATATATATACTACATTCTTGAAATGGGGAAAATGTACCTGAAGATGGCTAGCAACATGTTCTCTTTTTAGCCCCAGAACATTCATCAGTTCCAGAATTTTCTTGGGAACTGCCTCTGTATGCGTAGATAGAGTTAAGACAATAAGGAATACACAGAAGATAATATTGACTGTTGATTAGTTGTATAGTAGACATGTTTTCGATAGATCCATCATTTCCACACAATTTTCTAGTATTGTAACAAAGAGACAGAAGCATGGAATTTAGGTACGAATCACACTACTGAAATGAGGTCTCTAAACCGAACACATTAAAAGAATAGGAAGAAGAGAGAAGACATAAGACAAGACGGCAACTTGGTTATAATAACGATAACTCAGCTGATAAGAACTCTGTCTATATCATGTGTGAAGTTGACAGATTTCTATCCACTTCTCGCGATAGAAACTAACCAAACTTTCCTTGGTGAGTATATAGTAAATTCCTGTTTAAAACAACAAGGCACAGTAAATAGAGAAAGATACATGTAAATGCATAAACGAAACACAAAACATGAAAACAAGACTACACATTAGGGGTAGTGTATGATTTTTATGAAACTTCTGATGCAAGATAACCAGACAATCGAAAAAACATAGAATTACATCAACAAAGTTAAATTTTTGTAAAAATATCCAAAAGAAAGGTGAAGTGGTTCATACTGTCCATTCCAAGAAAGTTGACAGCATCTACAAACTTTCTATGAAGTTCTGCTGACCAAGTCGTACGTGCCTTCTTCAATGTGGTCGTATCACTCCTTTCTTCTGTTTCATATTCCTCCGCCTTTCTTTTCCATGAGCTTTTCAACCCCCCTTCATTAGTTACACACGAATACTCAACTTCTTTCGGTTGTTCAACATTTCCTGATTGATTCAATATCTTGCACTTCCACTCGTCCTTATTTTGTCGAACAATGTGTTGCCAAATGTTCTGTAGTGACTCCATGCTCACCGGTTTGATAAGACAATAATGTGCACCATGAATCAAACATTTCATAACTACACTTCGACTATCATCTGCAGACATCACTACCCAAACACAAATAGTACAAAAGATCAGCATTTCTAAACTTAGGAACGAACGATTAGTTAGTTTGTATTACATGAAACAGGATACTCACTTACAACAGGCAGGTCCATCTCCAGAGCAATATGCTCAAGAAGTTCAAAACCATCCATGTCTGGCATGTGGACATCGATTATAACCAAGTGAAAGTAGTTTTTGTTTTCGCGTAGCAATGACAATGCATCCTCTGATCGATTACACGTGGTGACTGGAAGAATCCATTGAATTAAAACCAATTGTGAGGAAGACAAAAGAAGTAAGAAAAAATGTTCTATTCAGGATCAATTCTCTGCATAACCATTTTCGAAATCACCTAAAGAACTTCTACTCCATTCCATTTTATGTCGCGACTCGCGAGGTTCAGAATAAGAGGATCAAGTCTACTTAATATCAGATTCAGAGATAGAATCTTCAAGTTTCTGAAACAAAATTTACATATTTAGAAACTACAGAAAAAGTATTATAATTCGAAACATATATGAAAACCAAATTGGTCAAAAGAAGAAACTCTTCAACTCTCCGAATAGTAACAATACCACATAAAGTAGAACAAAAGGGATACTTTTTTAATGGTAAAACTCCTTTCTAGTGAGCTTCCTCATATTATCGGTCTCAAACCTTGAAAAAGTACATTAGATTGCGCGATTCACAACTAGCCTAAAATTGGTTAATTTCGAATGAATCCTACTTGATATGCTTTTCCTTGAGTGGAGTGTTACCAAAAACAACCTCTCTACCCCCAAGGTAAGAGTAAGGTCTACGTACACGCTACCTTATTAGACTTCACTAGTATGATTACAGTGAATATGTTATTGTTGTACAATGAATCCTACTTGATATGTTTTTCCTTGAGTCGAGTTTTACTAGAAACAACCTATTTACCTTCCAAGGTAAGAGTAAGGTCTACGTACACTCTACCTTCACCAGACTCCACTTATGTGATTACACTGAATATGTTATCGTTGTACAATGAATCCTACAATTTACTAGTTTGAGATTTCTTGC